CATCCATGCCTCAGTAGACAGATTTAACTCCAAATTTAACCCAAAATAAATTCTGAAGATTTTATATAGTTAATTTTAGATAGGAATTATATTCATGGAATCTTTATGCATCAATTGATATTATAAATTAAAAAACAATTTTTATATTAACTTTTGTTGTAAAGGGAAAACTGTTTACAACTGACGTTAACTAACACAACACTGCTGTTTTATTATAATTGTCTTGCTACTATAGGGTTATCAACTTTAGTGGTATTATCAACCGGTGCTGGCAAGTCTTTGTGTTATCAGCTACCCGCATATATGTATGCACAGAAATATAACTGTATGACGTTGGTTATTTCACCATTGGTGTCTTTGATGGACGATCAGGTAATTCTACCATAATAGTAAGACACTGTGATTACAGAATAGTTCCAGTATGACAGAAATTCTGTATTTATACAATACTTGTGCATTTTAGAGAGATACTGCTTTTCAAATTTTTTGAAATGAGTGTTGAGTTAGCCTCAGATTGAACATTGAGTTGGCCCCAGATTCAGCATTGAGTTAGCCTCAGATTGGGCATTGAGTTAGCCTCAGATTGGGCATTGAGTTAGCCTCAGACTCGACATTGAGTTAGCCCCAGATTTGGCATTGAGTTAACCGAAGATTGAGCATTGAGTTAGCCCCAGATTCGGCATTGAGTTAGCTCCAGATTGGGCATTGTGTTAGCCTCAGATTCAGCATTGAGTTAGCCTCAGACTCAACATTGAGTTAGCCCAGATTCAGCATTGAGTTAGCCCCAGATTCGGCATTGAGTTAACCGAAGATTGAGCATTGAGTTAGCCCCAGATTCGGCATTGAGTTAGCTCCAGATTGGGCATTGTGTTAGCCCCAGATTCAGCATTGAGTTAGCCCCAGATTGAGCATTGAGTTAGCCCAGATTCAGCATTGAGTTAGCCCCAGATTCAGCATTGAGTTAGCCCCAGATTCAGCATTGAGTTAGCCCCAGATTCAGCATTGAGTTATCCTTAGATTGAGCATTGAGTTATCCTTAGATTGAGCATTGAGTTATCCTCAGATTGGGCATTGAGTTAGCCTCAGATTGGGCATTGAGTTAGCCTCAGATTCATCATTGAGTTAGCCTCAAATTCAGCATTGAGTTAGCCTCAAATTGAGGAACATCGCTTATAGTACATCGTCTGAATCCTACAGCTTTGTTACCTTAAATTGTATGTGTACTGCTATTACAACTTTAAAAGTCATGGTTTTCTTATCACTGTATCATTTCAATTATATAATTTAATAAAAAATTTAATTCCAACATGTTTTGATCAGTTGTCCGAAAAGCCACTGACCATTATTCTAGTTTTCTATTGAAAAGATGGTAAAAGTCTAATTGCAGCATTCATAGGGTTAAACACGCAACAAACAAAATAATCAAACAACCATGTGAACTACCAGTGGTTACTCTGTTGTTTATACCTTACAATTACGTATGCTTCATTTAATCAATGATATCATGTGATATTTCCTATGCAGGTAGTTGGTTTACCAAAATGCCTGAATGGTGCCTGTCTTCATAGCGGTATGACGAAAGCGCAAAGAACTAAAGTAGTGAAGCAAATCTTAGAGGGTAAAATCCACGTCTTGTTGATTTCACCAGAAGCATTAGTTGGTGGCGGTGGTAGTAAATCTGGCTGCCTGCCTCCTATTTCACAGTTACCTCCAGTGGCA